TACTTTAAAAATATTAATAAATTTGGGGGCCAGCCTGGTGGTGTAGCAGTTAGGATCACGTGCTCTGCTTCAGTGGCCTGGGGTTCACCAGGTGTGGACCTGTGCACTGCTTATCAAGCCATGCTGTGGCAGGCATCCCACATACAAAATGGAGCAAGATGGTCACGGATGTTAGCTCAGGGCCAATCTTCCTCAGCAAAAAGAGGATTGGTGGTGGATGTTAGCTCAGGGCTAATTTTCCTCAAAAACAATTTAATAAATTTGACTTCTTTTAATTAAAACATTCATACAACAAAGACAAAATGAAGTTCAAACAGCTACAGACTGGGAGAAGATATTTTCAATAGATATAACTGGAAAACATTCACATTTATAATATCTTAAAACTTCCTCAGATCAAAATGTAAAAGAAAAACAATGTAATTAAAATGGGCAAAAATGTGAACAGGCACTACATAGAGGATGAGATCTGAAAGGTCATTAAAGACATGAAAAGTTAGTCAACTCCCTAGTAGTCAGGGAAATACAAACTAAAGCAAGAAGACATACTTCACACCCATCCATTTGGCAAAATATAAGTCTAACAATATCATGAATGTTGCTGATGCTGTGAACATGCACTGCTGCTGGAAGCACAAACTAGCACAATCAGTTTGGAGACCAACTTGACAATGCCTAATAGACAGTTGCTTAAACACCTGCTTTAAGTGGAAGCTTAGGTAGTTTGCTTTAGACCTTTCCTCTTTTCTAAATTAGGCATTGGATACCAGACATTTCTCTATAAGCACTGTTTTAGCTGCCCCCCACAAATTTTGTAACTTTGTGTTTTCATTTTCGCTTAGGTCAAAACATTTTCTAGTTTCTCTCAAAATTTGTTCTTTGACCCATGGGTTTTTTAGAAATGTATTGTTTAATATCCATATAATGATATCATCAAGAAAGTGAAAGACGACCCGTAGAACAGGAGAAAATATTTGCAAATCATAGACCTGATAAGGGACTTATATCTAGAGTATATAAAAAAAACTCTTACAACTCAACAATGAAAAGAAAATCCTATTAAAAATGGGCAAAGGATCTGAACAGACATTCTCTAAAGAAGATGGATGAAGGGCCGATAAGCACATGAAATGATGTTCAACGTCATTAGTCACCATGAAAAATGTAAATCAAAACCACAGTGAGGTATCACTTCATACCCACCAGGGTGGCTAGAGGCAAAAAGTCAGACAACAACGTGTGTTAGGGAGGATGTGGAGAAACCAGAACCCTCATACACTGTGGGTGGGAATGTAAAATGGCGCACCTGCTTTGGAAAAACAATCTGGCAGTTCCTCAAACACTTAAACAAAGAGCTACAAATACGACCCAGCCAGTTCCACTCCTATGTATGTACTCAGTAAAAATTAGAACCTATGTCCACATAGAAACTTGTACATGAATGATGATGGTAGCATTTTCATTATAGCCAAAAGGTTGAAACAATGTAAATAACCATCAATGGATAAACAAATATGGTATATCTATATAATGAATATTCTTTGGTCATAGATAAGGAATAAAGTATTGATACCTGCTACAATACAGATAAACGTTGAAAACATTATGCTAAGTGAAAGAAACCAGTCACAAAAGCCTACACACTATATAATTCCATTCATATGAAAGTCCAGAATAGAGAAATCTACAGAGACAGAAATTAGATTTGTGGTTGCTTAAGCCTGGGTGGTGTGGGAAGATAGAGGGGTGACAGCAAAAGGACACAGAGTTTCTTGTTGAGGTGATGGAAATGTTCTAAAATTGACTGTGGTGACAGTTGCACGCATCTATGAATATACTAAAATCCATCGAATCATACACTTTAAATGGCTAAATTGAATGGTATGTGAATTATATCTTTAAAAAGCTGTTAAAAACCCCATATATTGGGAATTTTCCAGATATCTGTTACTGATTTCTTGTTTGATTGCTTGGTGGTCAGAACATTCATTGCACGATTTAAATTGTCTTAAATTTTTGGAGACTTTTTTATGGAGACATTCACATTTTATGTGAATGTGAATTATATGAATTTCATGTGAATGTTCTGTGTGCTCTTGAAAATAATGTGTATTCTGCTCTCATTGGATGGAGCGCCCAATAAAGTCAATTAGATCAATTTGGTTGATAGTGTAATCCAAGTTTTCTATATCCTTACAGATTTTTTTTTCTATTTGTTCTATCAATGACTGAGAGACGAGTATTGAAATCTCTGACTATAATTGTAAACTTGACTATTTCTCCTTATAGTTCTTTCAGTTTTCACTTCACATATTTGAAGCTCCTCTATTAGATGCATACACGTTTAGGACTGTTATGTCCTCCTGATGAGCTGACTTCTTTATTATTATGAACTACTACTCTTTATCCCTGGTAATATTCATGGTACCAAAATCTACTTTGTTCAATGTTAATATAGCTACTCCAACTTTCTTTTCATTAGTGTTTGCTTGTTACATATTTTTTCTTTTAAGCTATATGTCTCTTTATATTTAAAATGGAATTCTTATAGACAGCATATGGTCAGGTCATGCTTTTTACCAAAACTGACAATCTTTATCTTTTAATTGGAGTGTTTAGATCATTTTTTTAAAGTTATTGATTTCTGTTGGGTTTAAATCTACAACGTCGCTATCTGATTTTTTATAGTTTTTAAAAAAATTATTTTATTGAGGTCATATTGGCTTATAACACTGTATAAATTTCAGGTGTAATTCATTGTTTTTCAGTTTCTGTATAGACTGCATCATGTTCACCACCAATAGTCTAGTTTTTTTTTTTCCTGAGGAAGATTAGCCCTGAGCTAACATCTGCTGCCAATACTCCTCTTTTTGCTGAGGAAGACTGGCCCTGAGCTAACATCTGTGCCCACGTTCCTCTACTTTATATGTGGGAGGCCTGCCACAGCATGGCTTGCCAAGAGGTGCCATGTCCACACCTAGGATCCGAACTGGCGAATCCTGGGCCACTGAAGCAGAACACGTACACTTAACTGCTGCACCACCTGGCCGGCCCCAATAGTCTACTTTTTATCTATTACCATACATAGTTGCCCCTTTACCCCTTTCGCCCTCCCTTACCCACTTCCCCTCTGGTAACCATGAATCTGTTCTCCTTATCTACGTGCTAGTTTGTTTATCTTCCACATATGAGTGAAATCATATGGTGTTTGTCTTTCTCTATCTGACTTATTTTGTTTACCACCCTAACTTTACACCTCAAGGAAATAGAAAAAGAACAAACTAAGCTCGAAATTATAAGAAGGAAATAAAGATTAGAGTCGAAATACATGAAATAAAGACTAGAAAAAGAATAGTAAAAATCATCTTCATTGTTGTAAGATATTTCCACTGCATTTAGATTTCTAAGATGACGATTTTTTTCCTTCAGTACATTTAAGATGCCACTCCAGTGTCTTCCAGTTTGCACAGTTTCTGACAAGAAGTATGATGTAATTCTTATCTTTGTTCCTCATGTAATATGTCTGTTTCTTTCTGGTTGCTTTTAATATTTCTCTTTTTCAATGTTTTTCAACAATTTGATTCTGATGTGTCATGATGTAGTTTTCTTTACATTTATTTCGTTGAGATCCTTGGAATACTGGATACTTAGTTTTCATAAAGTTTAAACATTTTCCAGCCTTATTTTTTCAAGTATTTTTCTGCCCTCCCTCCTTCTTTACACTCCAATTGTGCAAATATTTTATCACTTTACATTATCCACAGGTCACTGACGCTAAGTTTCTTTTTTCCCCTAGTCTTTTCTCTGTACTTCATTTTGAACAGTTTCTATTGCTATGGCTTCAAGTTATCTAATCTACGGCAGTTTCTTTTCTGTTAATCCTATCCAGTACATTTTTCATTTTGTATATTCTTCATCTATACCAGTTTTACTTGAGCCTTTTTTATACTTCCCACTTCTCTTCATCATGTCCATGTTTTTCTCCACCTTCATAATCATATAGAGTGTTATTTATAATAGTTATTTTAACATTCTCATCTGCTTATTCCATGATCTCTGTCATTTCTAAGAGTCTATTTCTTTTTTTTTAAAGATTTTATTTTTTTTCCTTTTTCTCCCCAAAGCCCCCCAGTACATAGTTGTATTATATTCTTCATTGTGGGTCCTTCTAGCTGTGGCATGTGGGACGCTGCCTCAGCGTGGTTTGATGAGCAGTGCCATGTCCGCGCCCAGGATTCAAACCAACGAAACCCTGGGCCGCCTGCAGCAGAACGCGTGAACCTAATCACTCGGCCATGAGGCCAGCCCCCTGAAGTCTATTTCTTTTGATTGGTATTTCTCCTAGTTATGAATCATATTTTCCTGCTTCTTTGTATGGTCAATGCTATTTGATTGGGTATTGAGCATTGTGTATTTTACATTGCTGGGTGCTGGATTTTGTTATATTCCTTTAAATGTTGTTGGATTTTGTTGTGGAATGCAGTCAGGTTACTTGGAATCAGTTTGATTCTTTAAAGCTTTGCTTTTAAGTTTTGTTAGGGCAGACCTATAGCAGCCTTTAGTCTAGGGATAATTTAGGCATACTACTAAGACAGTATCTGAGGATTCTAACTGATATCCTAGATATTACAGGTCTTTCCACCCTGGTTGGTAGGAACATGAAATATTCCCAGCCCTGTGTGAGCTCTGATAATGGATCAGTCTACTGCTTTCTAGGGATCTTTTCACTGACCAAAGGTAGTTTTTTACCCCATGCATGTGCAGATCAGAATTCAGTCAAAACTCAGGGGATCTTCTGCATCTCTCTGAAGCTCGCTGTATACAGATCCTGCTTCTCTAGTATTGTTCCCTGCCATTTCCAACCTTCTTGGCTTCCATGAACACTTACCTTTGTCTCTTCTATTGAGCAGGATCTCTAGGATTGTTCTGGGTTCCCCCTTCCTCTGCTGAAGCCCAAATAATGACCCCAGGCAGTAATCTATGACAATCATAGGGCTCACCTTACTTGTTTTCCCTCTGTTAGGAATCACCATTTGGCACTTTTGTACGGCCTGTTGTCCAATGTCTGAAAGCCATTATTTCATATATTCTGTCTGGTTTCCTAGGTAAGATGGAAAGTAATCAGTCCCTGTTATTCCATCAAGGCTGGAAGAGGAAGTCTCACATTATATTAATTTTTTATTGTTTACAAGCACAAAATATTTAATAATTTAAAAAATATATTTTAAGAAAACAATTCTTTTATCCCTGACAGTATTTATTTTTGGTGCCATACACCTGGCCATGAAGAAAAGAATAATCTAGACCAGTTTCTAAACCTCAGAACTACTGACAATTAGGACTGGAAAGTTCTTGGATGTGGGGAGCTACACCATGCACTGTAGGATGTTTGGCAGTCGTGACAACCAAAAGTATCTCCAATCATTGCCAAATGTCCCCAGGGGTGGGGAGTGGTGGGAGCAAAATTGCCCTTCGTTGAGAACCAAACTTTCCCTATTATTGCAATCCATAGACTATCCTCTTTTTTATATAAGTTGGCAAGCCTAAAAAAAAATAATAGAGGCATATTGAAAGGGCACAGAAGCCAACCTGAAAGAGTTCCCAATGGCCAAAGTTCAAGCAACTTGAGCAATGAGCAAAAAATACCCAAAGCATAAAATAAAATCCATGAATTCATGCTGATATAAATAAATGTGGGAGAAGGTACATGCTTCCTAATAGAAAATTTTCAATTAATAGCTGTAGAAGGAATGATGGAAATAGAAAATCACCATTAGACCACCACGGTGATAAATGCTGCAGGTGGGATCCACCAATGGATGCTGTAATGAGTGGGCAAAAGTTTAAGTGGAAACAGTATATCTGCGTAATCTCAAAGTATTTCTCCCAAAATGTTTAGTAATTACAGGAGTGGGGGAAGGAAATGATAACTTTATGGTGGAGAATTCTGGCAGAAACCACTTTAGCCAGGTGACAAGATGAGCATTCCCAGTAATACATACTGATACCATGTTATCTCCTGATATTATGAACTGATAAGGGCACATCATCTCCGTGGCAGCCTTCCCCACAATGTACAATCTCAGTCTAATCATGAGAAAAATTCAGAAAAATCTAAACTGTGGGGCATTCTACAAAATAACTGATTAGTGTTCTTCAAAGTGTCAAGGTCATAAAAGACAAGGAAGGACTGATGAACTGACATAGATTGGAGGCAACTAAGGAGATAAGACGTTTAAATGAAACATGGGATCCAAGATTGGATCCTGGAACTGAAAAAGAATACATTAGTGAAGAAAACTGGTAAAATCCAAATAAAGTCTACAGTTCAACTCATATTATTGTACCAAGACTAATTTTTTTAGTTTTGAGGGCTACACATTGGTTATACAATGTGTTAACATGGGGGAAGCTGGCTGGAGAGCGTGATGCAGTTCCCCGTGGCGTTTTTGCAACTTTTCTGTAAATCTAAAATTATCTCAAAATAAAAAGATTTTAAAAATTGGAGCATCCTGTAGATATACATCTGTGTATTGTAAAAGAATGTTGTTAGTCTAGACATTGGAAACACAGAATCCCAGAGTTGGAAGGGTCCCTGTAGATCATTTAGCTCAATTCTTCCATTTTACCTTTTGAGCAAACATGGACCAGGGAACGAATGGGATTTGCCCAAGTTGATGCAAACAGTGGCAGAGCAGGGACTGGAACCTCTCCTCCTGCTTCCAGTTGAGAACTCTTGCTATATCTACCTCATAGTCTTTTGTTCTCACCTCTAAAACATCTGCAAACACACCCTGAGTTATTTTGGACGTATATTATGCTGGGTATCTGTTTTCTAGAGCAGAGGTCAGCAAACATTTTCTGTAAAATAGCCACATAGTAAATATTTTAGTTTTTGAGAGATATTTGGTCTCTGTGGCAATCACTCAACTCTGGTGTTATAGCACAAGAGCAGTGATAGACAATATGGAAACAAGTGGGTGTGGCTACGTGCCAATAAAACTTTACAAAATCAGGCAGTGTGCTGGATTTGAATTGTGGGCCACAGTTTGCAAACACATGCTCTAGATCTTTGCTAAAAGATATGATCTTTGTTAGCTCAGGGACATGCACCTAAGATGTATCTCACGTAGTACAGTCAGTAGAAGGTATGTGCATATCCCCATCTGGGCAACAGTATTAGAGTGAAGGTCACGATGGTGAGATCTTCTAAAACGAAGAAAGAATAGCAATAGTGATAAGCTCTCTTTGCGCTAGGTTGGCCCAAGCAGAGGATGATCAAGTAGCACAAAGAATGTCAAAGACAATAAGCCCATAAATGGAAAGATGAACAGTTATCTCTCTGACATTTCATTATGCCCTTCTGGCAAGGTGGGAGGCTTTCTCTAGAAACACCCAGAGCTGTGGAGCTTTCAGGTTTCAAAGAAAATGCATTAAATCTAATTTCAAAATAGCTGGTCTTTATGCTAAAACATACACACACACACACACTCACACATAAAAGGAGCAAAGTATTGTGATCTAAAGTGGTTAGAACAAATGACACAATAAAAAGAATAATTCTGTTAAGAAAGCATGATTTATTATAACTCTGTTCAGTATCAACAGAAAGCAGGGAGGAGCGAGCAGGCTGAAAGCAGGAAAGAGTATTCCTTAAATACGATATTTAATGTTATTTCCAAAGAAAATGTTACCTAATCAGACTCTTTCAAAATTTTTTTCTATTTAATAATGGTCACTATTACCTACTTTAAAGATGCCCTGTGGTGAAAATAATCTTTTGAGATGAAGTAGAACCTCAGAAGTATCTTTCCGTCTCATTTTTTCTCATTTATCTTCAATCCACAACCACAAAGTAAGACAAACAAGAAAAATACTAAATATACCGAGCTTGTGTTTTAATAATTTCTACTCCTGACAGTTACTTGAATTTGACATAATGCTTCCATTGGTCTGATTAGCTTGTTGCTTCTTAGGTTAAATATTTCATATCCAAATTCTGTTTCCTTCTCTATTTCACCACAACCTTACAGGGAGACACATCTTTTTGTTTCTTTATCAATCCTGAAATACTGTGCCTCAGTTGGTCAGGGCAACGTGGACTGCAGGTGCAGTCCGTTCAGCTAGCAGCCCAACCATACTGTACCAATGAGTCCCAGGGGTCACCTCATTGTTCCTGGGAGGCCACTGGAGTAAATGACAAGAGGGCAGGAAAGGAGTTAGTGAGGACTCAAAGCTATGTTAACCAAAAATGCCAGATTTCCTGGGACAGGCCTATTTCCAATAGTTGGCTTCACTGACCAGGCCCTAAGTACATATGTTCTTATCAGATTGTGAGTCTAGAATTCTAACTTCAGGGCTAGGAGACTTCAGATCCAGCCAGAAAAGATGAGATAGGGAGAAAATCTCTGAAGCTTCCAGGACCTTGGTCACCTTCTCTTATTTGATATCCTTGCTCTCCCCTGCCTACTTACCATTAGGGGCTGATTGGCAGTGAAGTCCCTAAAGTGAAAGAAATGTCAGTCATGAAGTAGAACCTGGGATAAGAATAGCCAGGGCAAAGCAGGGGAAGACAAGCACCTGTGACACGTCATTGAGTCTCTCTGAACCTTCAATTCCTCATCTAGCAAATGTGTATCTAATACCCACCTTGTCACACTGCATATGAGGATTCAACGTCAGAATGCATGGAAAGAGCCCCTAAAAGCTCTCGCACAGAGTAAGCCTTATGTTCATTAGGAATCTGCCCCTGGGGCTTATGGGAATAGGGATCCTGGTTAGCCAGCCCAAGACAAGACATAGCCCCAGAACTTAGCTCTCAGGAAACACAAGTGGGCTTTCCAGCCACCTCAGCCGCTGTCTTCACCCTACCACAGGGCAAATAGCTTGGAGAATGGGCCCTATGTATAGGTAGTCAAACAGCTTTCCCTAGCTGAAAGTCAGCATCTTCTGAGTGAACAGTGCCATGTGACAATCTGTTGACTGGATATTTTGAGGAAAGCAGCTACTAGGCAAAAGAACTCTCCATCAAGTTCTCTCAAAATTCCAATTCACCCTAGAATAGGTTCTAAGCTGAAGGCCATTGCAGGATATTGCTTAATTGAAGTGACTCTTTTCATCACCACTCTTTCCATCTTCATCCAGTATCTTTTAGTTAATTGTCCAAAGGTTGAGCTCTTTGCAGCAGGTGCCATTCCCCTGGCTGCCTGGGCTGGAACGTTGAGGCTGCCTGACAAGTTCCTAATTTTGATCCTAAGTTGAGGACAGTACCACAGTAACACATGAGAATCAGGGCAGAATATCTAAGGTAAATATCCCAAGTTTGTTTCTGTGGCCTGTTCAACACATTTTGGATTTATTACTCTCTCTATCTGCTGTGACCTCAAGGAATGAAAAGCCATTTTAATAGTAGTGTAAGTAAAGCTAATTTAAGAAGGGAAATCTGCTATACATATATCAAATAATGTCTTTCAAACTGAAGTGAGTGACTTTGGAGTGACTCACTGCCTTGGACTACCCTTTTGAATTATTCATGCTTCTTTCTCTAACACAACTGAAAGCTAGCACCCCCATCACACGTCAGTACTGGGGAGTGGGGCAGAGATTGTGAGAAGGGATCAATTTATTACTATTTGTGAATGGGTAGTCTGAAAAATAAAGGAAAATGCTTATTAAAAACAGATGCATTGAGACAATGCCTACTTTGACAGAGCTTAACATGTGGTGGTATCATCTATTTGATGGCATCTATCCTCAGTCAACTTGTAAGTATGTATTGAGTATCTACCATATATGAAAGAGAACACTCCACTCCATAAACACAGAAGCCTAAGTAATCACAGAGATATGGTGTCATTTAAGCAAGAAGAGAACAGGAAATGGAGAGGAACTTGAATTTCTGAGTACCTACTATGTGCCAAGCTCTATGCTAGGTTATCTCTCTCTCTAAATATACACACACACACACACACATACACATATAACTTTAATTCTCTTAAGAACCATGGAAGATAGGTGTTATTAGCTCCTTTTAAAAATGAAGAAACTTGAAGGAGGTAGATATTAAGAAGGTTATCCATGGCCATACAGGCAGTATGAGAT